GTAATAGTACCAAAATAAACAAAAGAGTCTTAACAAACATGGGTCCGCAAAGTAACGGTTTCGGAGATATCGAATAAGAAAATTTTTAGAATTGTTACTAGAAGCTTTTCTTTTTTGTTTGAATAGACAGCAAATAAATGTTTCAAAAAACGAATAAGTTTCGATATCTCCGTTAAATTTCAAGGCTAGTATGATTTTTAGAAAATAATGATACAAAACGGATATAACTCAGTTTTTTAAATGAATCTTATTAGTTTTTGAGATCCATAATCATAGTGTAGGTACGTTATTATAATTATTTGAATTTCCAACAATAAAAAGATTTTATGCCTGGTTTTTTGAACGATTTAAGATAAAATAAATTTTAACATTTCGATACCTACTGAGGTAAAATTTATCTAACGATAGATGGTTTCAGAAACAGAATTTGAGTCAGTTAAAAAAGAACTTTAATATGATTAAATTTAGTTGATCATAATATTACCAGCTTCTCGTTTATTACATTTATAAATCAGAATGAAGGTTTAGTATCTTTGAGTTTATTTATGCGCATAATTTAATTTAATCTTGCTCGTTTCGTTTACGCTGATGTGAACAATATTGGGTACGTTATAGAAAGGTACATAAAAAACTCGTAAAATAACATCCACATTCTCCAGTCTTTATTAAATACTTATACAGGGTGTGGAGTGTGCATGTCACATGGAGGATTTCAATTGAAAATACGACAATAATTTTTTATTTTATTTATTTATTGACTAAAACTGTTTTCGATCATCCGAGATTCGTTTATTTTAGGACTGTTTTTAACATTTTTCAAGTGACTTACATACAGGTTGTGCCAGAACTCGCGCCCCAGAGCAAGATACCACGGACATTAAAAAATTCGAATTATAAATTTTTGTATCATTAAATAGACATAAAAATGTCAAATTTCAAATTTTTTTGACAGAATTTTTTTCCTGGTATCTTATCTTACTTGAAATTTTTCTCTGGGGCACGAATTCTGACACAGCCTGTATATGGCGAACAAAAATATAAAATCAAGCGTTTTTTGCATAAACTAATTACTTAACGAAAAACATAATTCGTACATTATTATACAGGATGTTCCATTTTTATTGTTACAAATTTAATCAGGTGATAGAATATTCAATTTTAAGATAAAAGTTTCCTATAAACATATATCGAAAAATTTTATATAAGGGAGCCACACCCCCTGAAAAGGGTGCATCTTTTAATAGATTTTTTCTAATATTTCAGAAACCATCGTGGATAAAATTACAAAATTTGGTACAACTGATAACCTTTATACACCCAAATGATTTCAAAGATAAAATGTCGAAATTTTTATTCAGGGGCGTCTTAAACTGGGGGGTTTACGTAACATTTTTTGATACAAGTTCATAGGAAACTTTTGTCTTAAAACTGAATATTCTATCACCTGCTTAGGTTCGTAACAATAAAAACGGAACACCTGTATATGTTTAAAATGTGATCGTTTCTCGAGAATACAATTTTTTTAATTTCCTTTAGTTTACGATTTTGATTTTTTTTTTAATGGCAACTAATACAAAACTTTTTTTTTACAAAAGCTATAATTCAAGGATGACAACTATCTACATTTTTTCAATTCTTCTCTCTAAATTGCTATTTTGCAAAACTCAAAACAAAACAAAATTTTATGTTCAAAACACAATCACATTTTTTATAGAACTCTAATTTCTATTAATTTTTATTTTCGGACGGCAAGGGATTAAAAAAAAATAAAACAGAACATTAGTTTGTTTTTGTTTCCGATGTTTTTATATTTAATTTATTGTTGAATTTACTAGTTTGTTTTTGATTCCGATGTTTTTATATTTAATTTATTGTTGAATTTACTAGTTTGTTAAATGTTTTTTTACACAATAAGACACACATTGGTGATTGTTTTCAACAGTCTTACAAAATCAACCGCTTCCGCAAACTAAATTCAAGATTAGGTACATAATGAGACGGCCAAAAACTTAACCCAAAATCTAATCTTTGAATAGTTATATCTAGTAAAAAACGGATCAAACAATTTTTTATCATGGGAATTTTTTACTCATTTGGACCTCTCAAGAGATGGTTTGACACTTTTAAATCACCTGTAATAAGTACTTTAGAAATATGTAAAAACACTATAAGATCTAATGACGACATTTCAAAAAAATCCTATGCAGAATAGTAATTAAGTTGGATAAAAATTTGTATGCCACACGTGCGTTATTACAAATAAGTCACTTAAGAAAAGTACACCAATGGCTCTACTTGTTGGTGTAAACATTTTCTTGCGTGACTTATTTGTAATATATCACACTTAATTTGTAATATTTCACTTCTGCCTGACAAAATTGAAAATGTCGAAACCGACCACAATAAAAGAAGCGATAAAAAAATAGGAAGCAAAACATCCTGAAAAAAATATTGCTGATGCTGAAGAAGTTGGGTTTCAGTTCCAGATTGAAAAAATGGACAATTCATTATCTGCTTTCACAAAATGCAGAAAATTAAGTTTATCAACGAACATGATTGAGAAAATTGCTAGAATCAGTTAATTCAAAAATTTACGGATTTTATCACTTGGTAGAAATTACATAAAGTCGTTCGCAGGACTGGAAGGTGTAAAGGATACTTTGGAAGAACTGTGAATTTCTTATAATTTTATTGAAAGAATGAAGAGTGCATATTTTAAAAAAACTGAAGGTTTTATACATGAGTAATAATATGGTCAGTGAGTTTATGAAATTGCAAGAACTGACAAGTTTGGAAGATTTGCTTTTTGTTGGAAATCCACTATATGAAAGTATGAAATTTGAAGCAATCAAACGGCTACCAAATTTGAAAAAACTTGACGGAGAACCTGTAGTAAAGGATGAAGGAGATTTATTAGGTTATTCTCTAAAAATCTACTACAGTCAGCTGGTATATTCCATAGCTAATAGAGCTCTGTATATAAATTTTTTAAAGTCTCTATTCTCTAAGCGTCTATGTAAACATTCGAGTTATAGCGCTGTAATTACCCTATAGTCTGTTTTTTATTAAGTGGAAATGTCAAACAGTCTTAACAAATTTATTCATGGTAATTTTTGGATGTTGGTAGTTCCAGTTTTTAATTTAATTAATAAAAAATGGCATTCAGCAAAAAAATCGTCTAAGAAAATTTAGAAATGAAAACACAAAAACGGGAACCAATTGAGTATCGCGAACAGTTTTTGGAAATTTGAAGACGAAAAGTCAGAAAAAGACTACCGCTAAAATTTAGACACAATTTGTAATGTAAATTTGCTAAACATTCTCTAATTTTTAGTAAGAAATAAATGAGAATACAACATAAAATCAAAGAGAAAAAAACGCAATTAAATTAGCAGGATTGGTTGCACGTTTTTGAAGAACGAGTTGAAGAAGTAACAATTTTGAAACTAAAGCCGAAGGAGAATTTAGAAAATGCATCAACTTTGAGCTCATATTAATAAATTACACAAAAATTTATTGCCGATTTTCATAAAACCTGCTTGTACCTTTTGCAAAATAACTTTTTTCTAAATAGACACTCTTTTTTATTAAAGTTTTTGTAGTAAGAAGCTCATTATTGTCCACAACATTACCTTCTTTTTTCTTCATTTAATAATAAATATAATGCAATTAGTGCAATATTATTACGATCCATTATTATTAACTTTCCTCGATACCAATAATTATAAGAGAACAAAAATTAGCATCACTGGCGAAATACGGAGAGAAGTACTTATAATAAATTACTATGTTACTATGACAGTATATCGTTATAGAGACTATAAGTCTTTACGGTCAGCAAATTTCTCTCCATAACTTTATAGAGACTTTAGGTATAGAGAAATATTTTCTTAGAGAATTCGATTTTTACTTATAGTCGATAGCTTAAAGAGTTATAGCGCTATAGCAAGTATTTTTTTTACAGAATAGTACCATAATTTATATAAATCGTATTTTACTATTTAAAAATATACATACATAAGATAAACTATTTGTACCATAAATAACTATTATACTAAAAAATGAAATAAAAAAAATAATGATAACAAATAACCATATTGTTATTTTGTCTACAAAATATGTAATTTTAGGTAGGTGTTTTAGATATTTTAGTCTGAAAAACACTCATTTTAGAGAGTTGGTAAAACAGATATTTTTTTGGGAGCGACTAAAAGAATTTTGTAGTTTCTTTTATTGATAAAGATGCGAAGTGTCTCATTAATTTTTGGGCATTTTGGGCATCAAAAACAATTGAGATTTTTACTCAAAAATAAGCAAAAAACACCATTTTGTATCTAATTGGGAGATTTCTCGGCTTACTTGAGCAAAATGTCGCAAAGGAAAAGTGCATTTTTTAACTGAAAAAGTCAAAATGTCAGAATGTTATTTTCGACCAAATTTGGTCATTTTTTGCCAAAATTTTGCAAAATCTTTTAACTCAAAAACACGTTAAAAGTTTTAAAAGGTGCACCAACTTGGTGGTTTTTTGGTTGTGAATATTTTTTTTCGAGAAAAAGTAGGTATTTAGGTCACCAAAATAAATCCAGTAACGTAAACTAAAATAGAACGGTAATTTGAATCTAGTTTAGTGATTTTGTGGCTTATTGTAGCAAAATTTTTGCGAAAAAAAAGTTTTTAGCTGAAAAACATTCTTTTCCTCTCGAAAATGTCAAAAATAGCATAATTTTCGATCTAATTTGGTAATTTTTTGGGCCTTTTTGAACAAAATTTTATACTAAAAAGGTTCAAAAATAATTGAAACGGCAAAAATATTATTAATTATTATTATTAAAGTTAATGAAAAATATTAAATTAAAATAAAGCTTCCTGCTGACGAATTTTGTAGTTTCTTTTATTGATAAAGATGCGAAGTAGATCAATTTAGCCAATTAAGCCACTCAAATCCTCCCTAAATCGTCCTCAAATTGATTTATCTCTTCTAAAGAATGTCCTTATTGCAGGGTATTCAGCAGCGGCATTGTTGGCCATCCTGTTTGCCTTGCCATTCGCTTGGCGAGTGCTAGTCCATCGCGAGCAGGGTCACTGGGAACAACCACTCTCAGCATTCTACTTCGCACACTTGGAATTGTTCTTGGGAAACGCCTGTTTGGGTGTAGGAGTGTTAATGCTCCTCGCCCTCACCTTAGAACGTTACGTTAGCGTATGCCATCCAGGTCACGCTCGTCCCATTCTAGGCTCTCCTCGACGTGCAGTTGTTCTTATCCCAATCATTACATTCATCCTGTACTTCCCCGCTGCTTTTCGAAGTAAAGTCACCATATGTCGGTTATTACCCGACAGTGTTATTATATACCAAAGACAAGAATTGACCACTTTGGTAGAACATCCTTTATACAGCATCTACAAAGTGCTGTTGGAATTCGTTTTTAAAGTAATACCGATTATTTTATTGGCGGCACTCAATCTAAGGATTTTGATTGTTTATCGGAAAACATGTGAGAAAAGAAGGAGGATGACGCTAAGTAGGACATCTTCGGGTGAAGAGGATCCTCGGAAGTTTGCAGAAGAACGTAGATTGGTGTTGTTGTTGGGGTCTACGAGTATTTTATTTCTTGTCTGCATTACCCCAATGGTCATTCTTAATGTCACTTTATCGCAGAATAACTTAACTAAATACCCGTATCAGGTAAGAGAAATTAATTTTAAGGTTTTATAACCAAAAAATCAGTTAAAGTTATTGTTGTTATTAAATTTTAACTCTTATATAACCAATCCTGTAATAAAACATGTTCAAATGGGTGGAAAAGTATAGACTCCATTAAATTCGACGTTAAACTTGATTGAAATAAAATGTTATTACACTTTTTCCACAATATATTCTGCCAAGCGAAACGATACTAAGAAAATCCATTATGAACGAGTTTTTAGACTAGATTTACATATTTGAATTTATTTAGAACAGAACGAAATATTAATAGGTCTCAAAAAAATGTACAGAGTGTTATGTAAATCTGACCTGAGAGCAACATTTTTAAAAATAAATAATAGTTAAAGTGGAAGCAAAAAACATAAAATTACTATGTAGTAATTTGAATCGGAATAAAATAATGCAAATCGTTAATAACACAGGTCAACACGAATTTTGACTTTGATAATAGAGTATGAAATTTTGATAGATTTATCGATAAGTTAGACAAAAAATATAAATGGCCTGAAAAAGTTTGCTTTTGAATCCAGGAGAACGGTTGATCAATATTGTAGAAAATTCATAGTTTAAATTTTTATTTGTAAAAAAATTGAATTTATGTATAAATTTTTATCAGCTTTTAATATCATATCAAATTACAAAAAAATCCAAAATTTTGTGAAAAAAAATTAGTTTTTTCTCAAAAACGTTTTTATTCGTTTGAAAATAAATTGAATTAATACAATTTTTGTCTCATTAATTTTTGGGCATTTTGGGCATCAAAAACAATTGAGATTTTTACTCAAAAATAAGCAAAAAACACCATTTTGTATCTAATTGGGAGATTTCTCGGCTTACTTGAGCAAAATGTCGCAAAGGAAAAGTACATTTTTTAACTGAAAAAGACGAAAAGAATCTTATTTTCGACCAAAAACACGTTAAAAGTTTTAAAAGGCTCACCAACTTGCTGGTTGTTTGCTTGTGAATAATTTTTTTCGAGAAAAAGTAGGTATTTAGGTCACCAAAATAAATCCAGTAAAATAAACTAAAATAGAACGATAATTTGAATCTAGTTTAGTGATTTTGTGGCTTATTTTAGCAAAATTTTGCGAAAAAAAGTTTTTAGCTGAAAAACATTCTTTTACTCTTAAAAATTTCAAAAAATAGCATAATTTTCGATCTAATTTGGTAGTTTTTGGGCCTTTTTGAACAAAATTTTATACTAAAAAGGTTCAAAAATAATTGAAACGGCAAAAATATTATCATTTCCGATCTAATTTGCTAAGTTTTAGTCTATTTCAACGAAAAAAACACAGTTTATTAGCTTATAATAGCAAAAATAGCACAATTTTTATCTACTTTTCGACTGGTTTGGACAAAATTTTGCAAAATAATTGCATTTCTGGCGGAAGAACTTTATTAAACACTTGAAAAAGTGAAAAATAACTTAATTTTCGATTTAATTTCGTGATTTTTTATCTTGTTTCAATGAGTCGTATTCAAAATTTGAGTACTTATTATCTCAAAAACATGCTAAAACGTTCAAAAAAGGAAAAATAGTTTGATTTTCGACCAAGTTGCTTTTTTGCTTTTTCGGTAAAAAACACAACAAAACAAGTGTAACATGAATATTAAAAAGATTTTACTCAAAAAGGGTAAGTTGAATCGAAAAAAGGCAAGAGACCTCTATTTTGTAAAAAACTATGGAATTTAGAATTTTTTGAAAGTAACAAGAAACTTCAGCCAAAATAGTTATAGTACTTTTTATCCCAAACCCCCCCAATTTAGGACGCCCCTGATTAAAAATTTCGACATAAAGGTAATCAACTGAACAATTTTATCTAAAATGGTTTCTGAAATATTGGACAAAATCCATTAAAACATACACCCCTTTCAGAGAGTATATTATTATTTTTCAATTCATGTTCATAGGAAACTTTTATCTTAAAATTCAATATTCTATCACCTTTTTAAATTTATTACAATAAAAATGGAACACCCTGTATAATAATAACAAATTAAGAATCGAATTTAATTTCACTTTAACTTTTTTATTAGTTAAAATAGACTTTTTATCTCTTCCATCCAAAGTAATTATCTTTTTCTTGATTATATGATACAACTTAAATGAAAGGTTTGTGAGGTTTATTTTTGACACTTATTACAGCAACTTTACTTTATCATTTCGGATTAGTCCACAAAAACCCACTTTATCACCACTAAACAATATCATACGTACCGGGAATTCAATTAAATTTCCAATCAATAGAGATCGGAAATTAAATTGTCGACTTTGAATAAAATAAAGACAGAAGGTACGAAAATTGACACCTCTCATATCTCCTCTCTCTGGATCATTTAATATTACCAATTTAATTTCAGAATCTAATTTATTAGAACAATTTTTTATACCGCCTCTTCAAAATGAATGACAATTAATTACCAAATTAAGATTTTAGATTTGTTACCGAGACACAAATCACAATTATTTCCCTCGGTATTACTCATTATTTAAAAGTATAAAATATTTAAACACACTTTTTTTCATTAAACAATATAGGACTGCTAAAAAGGTTCATTAATTATTATTATTATCATTGCCTTATTATCCGTCGAGTCTCAGCTGCAATAAAATGTTTTCAAACTTTAATGAAATGAAATAATTAAAGCTATTATTTAGGGCAGTTTTCACAAACAATAAAAAGTATGGAACCAAAGTTTTTCTTAAACTATTTACTTTTTGAAAAAACTAATAGATGAATGATATAGTAGTAAAAATTTCGAATTTTTTGTTTGTTTCTGAGTTCTTTCATTACAAAGGCTGTGACCTAAGGATAACAACTACATAATCTATACTTTACTCAATTTTTATCAAATTTTTTTACATAAGTTTCAATTTTGACACAAAAAATCACATTTTCTATAATAATTTAATTTTTATTAATTATTCTTTTCTGAAAGCAAATAATTAAAAAAACGCTTAGTTCCATACTTTTTATTTACCCTGTATAAAACACAAGTACTGTTCAGTTTTAAAAAGTTGGTTTTGAGAAATAACAAAGTTGAATCGTAAAAATTTTCAGGACATGTGATAATTTTAAGTTTGACTTAATATAAAGGATGTGTTGAGAAATAAAAATTCATGTAATCAATTTCAGTTATAAAAATTAACGTATGTCATATCTTAATAATAATAATGACAATAATAATTTGTAGTTTATTGATGTTTTAATAAAAAATTATTTTACACAAGTCACAAGAAAAAAACGAATGAATTAAAAACTCTTCAGTTTTATACACACAGTTATAGATTCCAAAAAAAAAACAATTGTGCATCTTTTGTCCATATGTATTAACAAGAAATTAACATCTAGTATTTGAAATTTTAGGCAAATTACGTTTTTCATGTTGTTTGCAACTATAATTTTCAGAAGTAATTTTGAACGCCTAATGTTGGTTAGCCGTTGTTGTTGTCAACTTGCTGTCAGATTTAACCTAAATTTATGACACTAGATACAAAGTATATTTTGTTTGTCACCAGATTTATGGCAACCTAGTCACAAATATCCCTAAATCCTGGGTAGTAATTTCTTATTGATACGACAATTTGTATCCCTAACAGAATTCCTAAAGGGCACAAATGTGACACCTGAGTTTAATAAAGTCCAGGGTCCACAAAAATGTGTATAGAAAATTATTAACTTCCTGTTTCATATAAAAAAAATTCAAGTATACAGAATATTTCAAAAATAAGTTGCAATACACAGTTATGTCGTTTTAAATAAACTATCCTGTTTTTTGCATTTTTGGATGTACATAGCTTCTAATTTCGAGTATTTTTTTAACTCTTATAAAAATCTTAATGCCAGGGAGAAGCTTTAAATTTTGACATCAATACCAAAATGTCAAAAGATGTCAAATGTCAAACAGACGGAGGTCATGTCGTGTTCTTGATTCACACTATCCCCAACAGCAAATAATAAAAAATAGACTTTACCAAGATCTATCATTTTTAATTTGAACCCTTTTTTTTGCCAATTTTTTTCAAAAAATATACAAATTTTTTTGTAAATACATAGTTATTATGATAATTTACTTTCTTTTTCGCAAAAAAGTGGTATATTTTTCGTTAAAACTGAGCCAAAAATTCACCCAAAATAGGCCAAAAATGGAGGTTTAAGCAAGTTTTTGTGATAAAAATATTTAAAAAAAAACTATATACAGGCTAAAAAATTACAGAATTAAATTAATTTTTTTTAAGCTTGATTTATTTCGTTTTTGATTAAGAGGCTCATTTATTTTGCAAAATCTTGTCCTAGAAATACAAAAAAAAAAAGACATTCTTGTTATTTTGTTTGTTTGACTCGATTTAACTGGCTTTAGAGCAAAATTAAGACAACAAATAGACGAGAATTAATTCGTCTTTCATTTAATAAAGTAAAATTTCCGTTGAGCTTACAAACACTACTACAAATTTCAGGAGACAAAATGTACACAAATGAAAACTGTAAATATTTATCCTTTGATCAACTGAAAAGTAGAAAAGTTACAAACACAACCCGCTAAAAGATTGATTTGTTTCAGGTGTTTCGCGCTATCGCCAACTTGTTGGAAATAACAAACTACTCCATCACCTTTTACATCTACTGTTTATTCTCTGAAGACTTTCGTAACACGTTGCTTCGAACTTTTCACTTATCAAGAGCTACTCCTGCGAGAGGCACTGTAAAGCCACCACCACCCACAGCCACAACCACAATCACACACCCCCGCAGTGTTTGATACAAATCCAGCAGACCAATGGCGACGTTGGTCTAATAAAATCTCGATAAAAAAAACAACAAGATCAATTATTCTTTCACTCTGGTGCTATTTAACCACGACTATAATAAATGAAATCGTTGGCCTAAATATTTGTAATTCTTATACAGGGTGTTTCGGCTAAACTCCATTTTAGAAAAAAAAGTTTCAAGATGACGATACTCAATTTTGCTATTTTAAATAGAAAGGTTTGTTTTTTATTGCGATTTTGAGAAAGTTTTTATCAGTCTCCTCATTACTTAAGTTTAGCCGTTTTCGAAAAATGTTTCTCTCTAAAAATCAGAAACTATACCATTTTTAATTATTTTAAAATTGTATCTGGACGTATGAAAAAGAAAAATTAAATCTTTCGTAATTTATATTCATAATTGCAAAAATACTCTAAAAAATCCCAAAATTTGAAAAAAAAAGAGAAATTTCAAATACATACCAAAAGGAAGGGACCAAACGTTTTTTGCTTAAACTATTTAATTTTTGAAAAAACTAATTGATGAGTGATAAAGTACTATAAAAATGTGATGTTTTAACAAGAATAAATTTTTTCAAAATTTCCTTTTGTTTTTGAGTTCTACAAAAAAATTATTTTTTTAAATGGCAACCCACTCTCATAAAAGCTATACTAATTTTTTCACATAAATTGCAATTTTGACAAAAAAAATCGCATAACTCAAAAACAAAACAAAATTTCGTTCTGAAAATACAATCACATTTTTTATATTATTTTAATTTATATTAATTATTATTTTCTGGAGGCAAATGATTAAAAATAAAACCGCTTGGTTCCATACTTTATATTCCCCCTGTATATCCATAACCACTAAATTCTTAATAAATATCCCGCCTGAGGATTTAGTGAAAAATGCATTGGAGCAGTGATTTTGAGTTTTTCCTTAGTTCCGTGGGTTACTAGGAAAAACTGAATTGTTATTAATAATTAATATTTTTTTTATAAATTTTTTTAACAGTTTTTATTAAAAGCAATTACTAATTTTGCGAATATTTTATAAGTAATTAATCCCATACAACTTTAGAAAAAAGATTCAAAGAACATTTTAAGTGAGTCGGCGTTATTTGAGATTACGAAATTGAGGTGGGGGAAGTTAAAGGGTTAATGGGGGTTCTTTTAAAATTGCGTCAAAAAATGTCAAAATTAAGCTGTTTTGGGGTTCGTTTTTTTAGAACATCCTGTATCTCATAATTGGATGGTCTGATTCAATTTTGGTAAAATTGGTCTTAAAAGGCTTGTTAAAATAGCTTTAATTTGATGTGCCACAAATGGGATAGTGCCATTTAAATTTTCAAAGTTGGGGTGCGTGGGTTAAAAATTACGTCAAAAATGTCCCCCTAGGAAACAAAATTGAACTGTTTTGGCGTTTTTGCAGTATTTTTTGGTTCTGAGAGATTTTCATTGGGCCACCCCCTGTATAGATATCATTTTCAGAACTTCTAATGTGGGGTTACCCCGAAACACTCTGTATGTATAAATAACATCATGTAGTTTAAAAACAGATTTTTGGACAGAAGAAACAGATCGCGAATATTTTTGTATTGATTTCATTTTCACTATCACAACCTATTAAAATATCTACGACAATGAAATCATACTTAAATGTTAGGAGGTTCCGATTTTCCGAAAATAGCAGCTGTGATAATAAGGGCATCAAGTTGAACAATGAACAATTCTTAACTTACACTGCCCATTATTCAACAATTCCAGAAACTAGGTACTTAATTATTATTATTATACTTAAGTTATAATTGTAAATACATACATTGTATTGTGGTATAAAATTAACATAAAACATAATAAAATAGCATGACCAATGTTTTGAATAATTAAGATTTTTACAGTCTAAGCTCAAGTGTGATGTACCAACGTGTGTTTATTTAAATTTGGCGTCATAGTTGGCGGTGATGTGAGTGTGTTGTGAACGGACCACGCCCGGCGAGGTGTCAAATGTCAGATTAACAACTTTCAGTACGATGGTTTGTTCACAATCAAACTTTCATGGTTAGCTTTGACGCCAAATTTAAATGCCGGTGAGGCATCCGTTACGAGCAGAAAAGAAATCCCCACTTCTAATTGAATAAAATTGTTGAAATTTTTCACACTTTCCTAGGCATTGATAAGGTACATTTCATAATTTTTTGGTAATTTTTCATTTACAAACAAGGCCAAAAAAAATAAAAAGTAATTTTCTCCCAAAATGTTGAATTCTAATTTTTATACTGACCTCTGCAGATTCACTTCCTGTAATTGTTTACGAAATCAGACAAAAAAAATACTAATTAGATTTTGAAATAAACACAATTTTCCATTTTAACTTTGAAAATCATTTTTATTTATAACCTGCTACTTGTGCCATCGTAAATTTAGGTGACAATGGGGTAAGATTTCCAGATTTACAACAATAAGAGTCTTCAAAGTGGTCAGCTACCAGTAAATGATTCTTTTGTTGCCAAATTTTACCATTTTGTCATAAATTACGCGTTTCAATAAAAAAAAAACGATTATTTAGCTAACCAAGTCAAAATTTGTAATTGTGATATCAAAGTTTGATGCGTCAGCAGGAGCAGATTCATTTAATGTAAAAACTTTATCGGCAAATTAACAGAAAGTAGATATTCATAAAAGACAAAAAACTGTTACGGCTTCATTTAGTATCAAAATAATTTAGAAAAATTCTCAAATATACCCTATCAATAATTTTAATTAAGTATATGAAATATCGCCAGTTTTAAAATTGGAAGCAGAGTTGGACGCGTAAACTACACAATTTTACAATGTAAAATACATGATTGTTTACATGTAAACAACATCATTGTTTACTTATCAATAAAATCTGTAAGGAACGTAAACAATGTAAACAATAGAAAATGTATTATTTTATTCCAACTCGATGTTCTTTATGTTTCTTCTTGGTAATATTTTTTTTAAAAGAATTCCTAGTTTCCTTGTCACTATAACTAGTTGATTTGGTTTTTTACACTGTCTTAATTTCGATATTAAGACTGCATAGGTACTACATTTCTGCAATTGATTCGTACATAATTTAAAAGATGAAATTTTGAATAAGCAAATCGTGAGATTTTAAATTTTTTAAAGTGTATTGCATTTTAAACATAATGTAGAATAGTTTTTCTTGTTTTTCATTAATTTAAAGCCTAACTGCTTAAAATGACAGCTGACTGGATAAAGCATTTTCGACTTAACTTCTTTCAAACTTTTTTTCTTTAAGCACAGTGAGATAATTCTACATTGTGATTCAATCCTCATCTGCACTCAAATGCTTATCAAAACATCTTACTTAACCTTAAAATAATAGTTCTTTACATTGTTTACATAGTTTACATATTCGATGCCCCACCCGGTATATTACAATACCTACGACTATTACTCTGTACAACTTATAACGATTTTCTTTTGAATAAAATAAAAATATACTGAATTGTTTATTATTTGTTTTCATTTTGGCACAACTGTTTTACTTGAATATTTCTCAAACTCTATTTTGTAAATTAAAAAAAAAATTAAAACTATGGAATTTGGTGCAACGAAGAATTCTGAATTTAGTAAAATGTCTGATTCAGTATTAGTGTTGCAAAAATCTTGAAGACAACACGAGTTTTATAGTTTAAAACTCTAATTGTCTTAATAGCTATTTTGTGTAGAAATCTATTTTTTAGTGTTTAACAATATAATAGTAGTTTCGCTTAATTTTAAATTAAGAAAATATGTGTTAAAATTATTTTTTTATCTTGAGATAATTTCACAATTACTAATTGAATCTCCACCTTTTAATTTTCATAAAAATCCGTTGGCAAATAACAGAGATATTAGCCCCGAAAGTCTTACGACGGGACATCCTGTATGTTTTTTAGATAATTTAAGAAACAAACAATCACAACGTAACACTCATAAGTTTTATAAAATATATAAAATAAATTCAAGTTAAAGGTGAAAATAAAGCGATTTAGTCCAAATTACCTCTATATCAAGTTGCACCGTTCATAAATTAGAGGGCGCCAAAGTTTAACAATTATTTTCGATTTTCTTTAATAACTTTTTAATGGAGTAATCAATTTTTATGAAATTTGCTATGAAAACTGCATGTTTTGGTGCTATTTTTTTGTTTTATTATTTTAAAGTACTTACCTTATAATAACTTAACACATTTTAAGTCATATCTTTGTTATACGTCATCCAAATGGTGCATTTCTTATTTTAATCAAAAGACCCATTATTTTTAAACAATTTTTGTAATTTATTTTTTCTGTCGGTCTTGGTTTTAGAGTAAGTAAAAAAATAAGACGTGTCTTTCTTAATTTATTATTATTGTTTTAAAAATTTGGTTAAAATTTTCTTAGGTTTTGGATATTTATATAAGTTTGTGTTAGTTAACAATAATGTAAAACAAAAAAATCATAAAGATTGAAATTAAGCGAGATTATCATTTTATCTAACACACTAACAAATAACCATATTAATAAATAAGCAAGTCAATATTACTAGGGATTGTACAACTTACAACGATCTACAACTAACGATTTTCTTTTAAATAAAATAAAAAATATACTAAATTGTTTATTATTTGTTTAAACTTTGGTACAACTGTTTTACTTGAATATTTATCAAAATCTATAATTAATTGTCTTCTAGCTTCAACAGCTTGTGATGGATCTACACAAAAGGCCTTTAATCTATTTTGTAAGTCTTCAAGGTTTGAATATAAACAGTTTGAAGGATATATTTCAGGATAAACTAGCGAATTTGGTGCAAGAGGATAACAGCCACAATAAACGGCTTCCAACCTGAAATACGAATTTTTTTTTAATAAAAAAATTAACTAAACTTACATTGCAACACCAAAAAATTCATGTTTGGCAGTTGAAACAACTACATGAGATGATGCCAATATATTATAATAATCAGATTTAGACTGTATATAGCCAAAATTTAAAATTTCTTCTTTCAAAACTAGTTTAATTGTGGTAAAAATCGGAGGGTTATCTGTAAACGGTTCCCCCAAAATAGACAGTTTAAAAGGAATCTTCTCTTCCTTCAATTTCATTAATACGCTGAAAAAATCTTCAGGACCTTTATCAAACTCCCATCTGTGAGGCCAAACAATATGTAAAATATTTGTTAATTTATCATGAGCAGAGATATGCGAAAAATCCATGGGAAAATACAAAACCTGACATTTGCATTCAATTTTTTGTTTCAAGTTTTTAGGCCTCCAATCAGGCAAAAGTTTTGTAATTTTTTTAATGTTATCCAGAAATGAGCTCTGATTAAAATACGAATTAAATAAAACAACATCTGCGGCTATACTGAAAATTGTAACAGTAAATAGTTTCCCAAACAGTGTGAATGCAATTACCAGGTAATTATTTGATTATATGAGTACTGGACATCCCTTTCTTTTATATCCCTAACTGGATAAATTAACTGATTTTCGTGGAAATATACAACTTTTTTCAGGGGCTGCAAATCGGGCCTAAGTCCTAACAATTCAGCTAAATTTAATACTGAACTACAAAATAATATTTTTTCTGAAGTGATAGAAGGAATTAATTCATGTAGACTTAAAGCACCACAACGTGCACGCCAATGCCATTTCTTCGCTGGTAAAGTAATAATTTCGTAGTCTGTTAAACCTAAGGGGAATAATTAAAATTAAAAAAAAAAGGTAAAATACTAATTTAAATAACACTTACTGCCAGTGAACGTATCTATTAGTACTTTGTGAGAGCCCCCGTAAAACGGCTCAATAAACATAACTTTTGGATAAGACAAAACTTGCATTCTTCTTGAAATTGGTCAATTATTTTTGCTAAAAAATGTCAGATTGTTATTATGAATATTTAAGGTTATGTTACAAAACATAAGCACTCTGTGTTTATTTTCGTCGCTCGAAAATTACACTTAGCACATCTAGTGGTAACTGTGTGTACTAACAGTGAGCGCGGACAATTTGAATGAGCCCTTGTTAAAATTTAAACACCACTTTCTGTATTCTTTCAAGCAATGAGAACAACAGTTTCTAACTACATTTTAAGTTGTCAGACAACTATTGTTTGTGAATATTTGGATTGTTAAATAATTTTAATAAATAATAAAATAATATTATAGAAGTAATTAATACTTAAACAAATCACGTCGAAGTAAAAACTGTAAGTAAATGCTAATAAATTGTTGTTAATAATTTGTTATAGTAAATTTGTTAATTTGTATTTGTATATTTTGACTTATTATTACAGGAGGTATACAGGGTGAATATAAAGTATGAAACCAAGCGGTTTTATTTTTAATCATTTGCCTCCAGAAAATAATAATTAATATAAATTAAAGTAATATAAAAAATGTGATCGTATTTTCAGAACGAAATTTTGTTTTGTTTTTGAGTTATGCGATTTTTTTTGTCAAAATTGCAATTTATGTGAAAAAATTAGTATAGCTTTTATGAGAAAAATTATTTTATAGTGGGTTGCCATTTAAAAAAATATTTTTTTTGTATAACTCAAAAACAAAAGGAAATTTCGAAAAATGTTATTCTTTTTAAATCATCACATTTTTATATTAGTTTATCACTCTTCAATTAGTTTTTTCAAAAAATAAATAGTTTAAGCAAAAAACGTTTGGTTCCATACTTTTTATTCACCTGGTATATACTTGTTCCTGTCAGGAATGTCGTATCCTTGTTTGCAAATTATAATTAAACCTACTTTATTTTCAGTTTTTCAGATCTTTCCACAGGTAGGTACTGAGGTGGCATGAATAACTAAAAATTTTCTTGTTATTGCCTTGTTTAGTACAATGAGTCAAGGGTGATGATAATCCCACAGGTAGATACTGAGGAGGCATTCGTGAGAGGTCACTAACCGCTCATTTGAACAAATAGGGATGGTTTTTCAAGGGATGATAACTGTTTAGCTTTTCTTGTTTCAAAACATTCCATCAAAATCTAAGATGATTCTATTATACACTGACCGGCATAATTAAATTTTAAGATTTAAAATGGCTAAATGGTTCTGAAATAGTACTAAAACTAAAAATAAAAAACAATGATAAAATATCTACTTGTAAAAAAGTTAAATAAAAATTCCTATGAAATGAAAGTAATGAGGGTTTTGCATGTAGCTTATAGAATCCTAAGCATATTCCTAGTTATAATGAATAGTAGATCATTATGTTAATTATAGTTCAATTCAATTTTTGAATTTTCACAATTTTTGTTATTTTTTGTTAGTTCAATCTAGTTTTTATTACGTCGATAGAAATAATAAATTCATGTCATAACCTCAAATTAAAAAATTAAATTAAATTACACATTCGTTGGCCAAATTTCTTTTATATTGGGCTTTTATAATCTTAAAAACACTTCACAAATCACTACCTAACTATTTCAAGTTGACCAGTGTGCAAATTAACTGGGTTTTACATCGTTTTTCTATCGTTTTCGTTTGATTTTCTTAAAGAGTATTGACGCGAAATGTCAACAACTGTCAAAAGTGTCAGATTGAAATTCAACGCACTCTAGGTTAATTTTCATTTTTATGGCCTTTTGGCCAAAATAATATAAATTAACGAAAATAACCCATCCGGTGCAGTAAAGGTTGAATTGAATTTTCATTTTTCATCATCGTTTATTGTCTAAATTTTGGTATTTTTTGGTATAGTGTCCAACAAAATTGCTCCAAAAACAATTGCTATTTTGTGCGAGAGAGATGGTTGATTAATTTTTACACGGGTTGAGTAAGATATAACAACAATTTCTGTTAAAACTTCAAAACCGTTTCTCACCTTCAACAACTGCAACTGATCCAGAGTCAATTCCTTGACCGGTAACTCCAGCATATCAGTCTCATCCAACTGTTTCTTCTTCTTCATCGAAATACACACATGGAAATCGTGATAAATTCATAACATAGGATAGTAGCATTATCAAGTAACTCAGTCGACTATGGATTTTTTAAAAACATTGTTTACCGAATAAATGTTAAATTATCAAAATCACGGAAATTTTCGAGAGACAACAATTAAAAACTGAGCGTTTTTCCAGGCTCGAGGAGACAATATAAGGTATTAATGGTTGCCTCCGAATAAAACAAAAGCTTATCTAAGCTAAAAAACTGAATTCGCTTTTTTGTTTCTTTTGACATTCATTAAATTGAAGTAAACGTTAATTAATTAATTAATTAATTAATTTTTGATGCATTTATTTTTTTAAAGCGTTATTTCAATAAAAAATTAATTTTTTTGATTAATTTTTTTCTACTTTTCATGGATTAAAGCTGCTTTAGTTTGTTTTGAGACTGTTTTCTTAATGAAATGTATCAATATTTCCAATGGGCACTTCGTTAAAAATGCATTGGAGCAGTGATCCGTGTTTTGCTTTAGTTAACAGGATTTGCTAAAACTGAATTATTATTGAAAATTAACGAAAAATAACACAACTAATCAAAGCTGTAAAGCGGTGTTTGTCAGTTCCCCCACACCAGCGGGAAATAGTTCAGCAATACGAGTTTACTGTTTTAATAATAAAGTTAATAAATAAAGCACATAAATTTGTGTTTTATGATAGAAGTGACTTTAAAAATAGAAACTAAAATCATAATGAAATCTAGGTTATCATTCTGGGTAATAGGGAATTAGCCAGGTGTGTGTTCACAAATAAATTGCCTTCTAAATAAATAATATTAGACAATAGGTAACTACCTATTGTAACCAATAATAATTACTTGAAACGCCTAGGTTTAACTTTCTCTGATTTGGTTGCTAATCTGGATCAAATTCCTTTTTCAACGGCAACAAAAATCAATATTGTTTTTATATTATGTAAGATGAACAAGAGTGAGACGTGACAAATCTAATAATTTTTAGCAGGTATGTACATACCTGCTCTTGGGTCTGTTACTCAAACCCCCCGGTCCTACTGTAAGTCTTTCTCTGAATTTGTCTAATCATCTGTTATAAATCATCGTCTGAGAAATTTTGATATTAAGCTTATTTTTAATAACAGAAAAAAACTAAAAATACCAAGCTGCTCTAAATAAAAATCTCTACCGGTTGGCCAAAGAGTTTTTTTCATTTTAAAGCCTTGGTGTCTTTATAAGTGTTTTAGTCCAAAAAGGTGTTTAGCCATAATTTGATAAGTACTAGATTTTTTAAAATTTTGTTTCGGCCACTTTGTAGATATCATTTCTCAGATACCCGGTTTAAATAAGTAAATAGTAAAAGAAAAGACATTACAGTGTAATTAACATGATAATTTTCGGTTATGATTAGAGAACCAGAAACTGAAATATTTTCGGTGAATAGTTTTTTAGCGAGGCAACTATGAAAAAAATCATTGGACAGATTGATTTTGTTTTTTAATTATCATTGTTCTTCATAAAAAAAAATGATTCGGCCCATAACGGAAAATTACAATGGAAAACAAGGACTCTTTTAAACTAAAAAGACTTCGGTTGACATAAAAAGGTAAAACTGGCTTTTTTTTCGTGCGGGGCTTGCATTGACATTTTTTCAACTGACATAATTTGATGTCCAAGATTTTATGTCCGCAATTGTGTAAAATTGTAGTTTTTCCGACTAAATTTTAATTTATGGATTTATATGTTGTGTTGTCCCATACAAAAATTTAATTTCTATTGAAAATCTGTGAGGTTTCTAATTAGTAAATATCTATCAGGTAGATAGAATAATAATAATTATGATTATTAATTTTTTTAAGATCTAAAAGTCCAAACAATATTTATATAGCTTCCAGTTTCTAGTGAAACTTCCACAAATTCAATGAACTAAAATATTTGCGAACAGATGTTTTACTTTTTTTTTGCCTAGAGTGTATTGCTGATTTTGTTTGGAAAAGAATAATAAATGTTGAAAACCTACTTGCAGGTTTAAAATCTAGTGGATTTTAACACTAAACGTTGGTATGCTGGGGAATTTTTCCCGCCGCGGTTAGTGAAGAACATCGTTGACAGAGATAATCGTTGAACACAACACTTGCTATCTGCTCTTGAAGTTGAACAGTTGAACACAAATACCATCCAACATTCATTTCAAGTTGTACTCAAAGTTACCATAATTTATCTTAGTTTGCATTTTTTCTTCACAAACACAACAAAAAATTCAATCAATTAAAGCAGTTTGTTGTTTCTGTGTTAAATACTGTCTAGAAAAAGCTGCAATGGAGTTAGCGACTCAAGAGGTAAGTTTAAACTTCTCACCAATTTTTTTTCTTGTGTTTTTTTTTATTTTATTTGGAGTTTACTTTCTTGATTTTTTGTCTGAATGAAGTTTAAATTTATGTTAATCTAATAATTAATAATAATTATGACATTTTTGAACGAGTCTAACAATAATGTATTGTTTTCAAATTGTGTAATTGGTTGTAGGAAAAGGAGGCATTCTGTAAAGCGATTGGAAATAAAAATTTAAAACAAGTTAAAGAATACGTATCGGAGAAGTTATATGTAAATTTTATTTTTGATAATCATCATAATCCACTTACATTAGCGTTAAAGTCACATAACATTGATGTAATAAAATATCTAATAGAAAATGGAGCCCACGTTAATTGCAGTAATGATTATGGATATGCACCTTTACATTGGGCAATAAAAAATGATTGTTCATTAGATATTATAAAGCTACTTATAAATAATAATGCAGATATAAATAAAATTTCAATATACGAGTTTGAAAAATATACACCACTTTCAGCTGCTGTTGATGAAAACAATTTTGAGGTTGCTAAACTTTTAATTGATGAGGGAGCTGACGCAAATAAACGAAACTCTGATGATTCTACTGCTCTAACTCTTGCTCACAAATATAATAGAACAGACATATTGAATTATTATTATTATAATTCTCTAGGATTTGCTATTTTTACCGAAAAATTGGATGAAGCTCGAAAACTTTTAGAAGATGGTGCAGATGTTTTTATGACTGGTGCAAAGAAAAAACTTCCTCTTATTATAGCCGTTGAAAAGGAGAATCTCGAAGCAATCAAACTTTTATTCGAATTTGGAGGCGATATTACGATGCCAACTGCCGTATTGAAGGCCATAAATGTGGGCAATCTTGAGATAATTAATTTTTTTTTAAGAAACAATGTTGAAATTAATTGGAAATATCGAGACGGCACTACACTTCTTATAAGTGCCATAGAGAAGGGAAATTTCGATGTGATTAAAATTTTGATTGAAAATGGCGCCGAAGTTAATTTTCCAGACAATATGCCCTTAATAACAGCTGTAAGGATGGGAAATTTCGATGTAGTCAAAATTTTAATAGAAAATGGTGCTAGTGTTAATCCCACAGACAATAAAAACTCTTATCCACTGTTTGAGGCTTTGAAACTTGACAACTACGACATTACGAAATATCTAATAAATAAGGGAGCGAAAATGGAGGCGAAATTTTTATTGAAAGACAACTTTCAATGTGTAAAAAATTTAATTAAGATGAAAACCCAGTTGAAGAGTGTGTTGCTGGACGACCATTTTGAAACTTCTACTTTACTAAAAGTAGTCGAAACTAAAAATACTTGTTTTGTAAATTATCTTTTAGAACAAGGGCTTCAAATTGATTCGTATGATAAAAAGGAAGAAAGCCCTCTTGCAGTAGCTGCTAAAAATCGCAGTTTTTTAATTGTTCAAATTTTGATTAATGCTGGCGCTGATATTAACTCGGCCAAAAAAGAACTCGAGGATTTAGCCGACGAAGATGAAAATTTTGACGTTTATTATCAGAGATTGAAACGAAAACGTAACTTTTCTGAAGGTAAGAATGTTATTGTTTTGAATTGTGTTACATTTTAATTTTATTAGTTTCAGTTCCTGCTGACGGACGTCACGAAGACTCTTTTGTCGTAGTGTAATTTTTTCAAGTTTATTCTTTTGTACCTTTCTGAATAAAAAATATTGTTAATACTTCAATGATTTCTTTCTTTAGTAGTAATTTGTGTTGCTGAATTTTTTTATTTTCTACATTTTAAATTGTGTTAAAATCCGTTGGCAAATAATGGAGATATTAGATTCGGAATTCTTATTAGGTGGGACATCCTATGTAAATTACAATACCAGGAACATGGAAAAAATGTTAAAAAATCTGTCTATAAAAAAAGTTATGAGAGTTTAAATTTTGCATTTTTGCACAAGTTCAGTTATTTTGTTATCTACTATCATCTCTTAAAAAGTTTTTATGCAACTATTTAAAAAATTTAAATCAACCTCCATAATTTGTGGATCCGCCATATTTATGAATCTGGGGGAATTTGGTATTTTTTCACTAGTAGTAAAGTCACATTTGTCATTTGTCATTCTGTTGTCAATTCTTAGAGCTCTAAAAAATTCATCACAATTTCATTTGGATGAGTTTTTTAACGAAAATATTTGCAAAATCTCTTTATTTACACGTCACCTACTTCAAACATGACAATTTTTGATATGTTTTATCACTGAAACCGTGCAAAATGTCACTGTGTTCCAACATTATTGTATTAGCATTGTGTTGTGTTTCGTGTTTAGGACGAATACACAAATTAGACATCACGGTAAGTTAATTAATTACGTTGTTTCTTGTATAATTCTTGTTAATTTTAAGAATGATGCACGAAAGTACATCGCGTTGAGTACATTTGGGTTTTATCAAGGGGGTGTCTTAGATGTTCAGCTTAAAAATTTCAGAGCCTTTCCAGAAAATGATTCGGCAGTGGTAAGTGAAAAACTTGCAGTTGTATCAACAATACTAATTAAAAACCAGTTTGGATTTAGTCTAGATCGTACGATAAACGATGCAATGAATCCATATCTTGGTAGTCATCAAGAACATTGCATTTTACAAGACCCTCTAAGCACTGCAAACGATGTGGCCATTATTTACTTTATTCTTGATCTTAAAGGCAAAAAGTAAGTATTAAATAATTTTTATTTAGTTGCTTTAACAAGACTTTTTCTATTTTTAGACTTAAAATTAAATGTGAGGACCAACAACTTGTACATATTTACAAAAATAAGGATGAAGTTCCATCTGTATTATCAGCACATCGACAAAAACGACAAGAAATGTCTGATCATTGCAGTAACTTAGATTTTGACATAACTACAAAAGTTATTAAAGGAAGGTCTTACTACAATGCTAGTGTAAGGGAAGATTTTATTACAAAACTTAAAGCTTTTACTCTTTTTCATATTAATGTGCACCGAAATAGGTGGGAACCATGCGAAAATAATAATAATTAGTTTTAGATTTTGCCATATTATTTTTTTCATGTGTGAATCGGGCATTAGAATCTTGACTAAATTAAAGGTGCTTTTAGACTTCCATTTGATACACAATAATGTGGAAATGAGTAGAGTTGTTTTTGATTAACATTACAAGGTTTAATATAGTCTGTTTTTTTTTTTTAATTGAAACCAAGTCAAAATTTTGGTGTATTTTTTTGTTCCTAGACATTTTATTAAAAAATGAAGGATAATTTATTCGAATGATTTTGATGTTGATGCAAGTTCTAAATTCTTTTTCAGCTTTAGTTTTAAAATGTTTACTTTTTCAAATCGTTTCTCAAAAACAGTGTAACCAAGCACACTAATTAAATTAAATTAATTAAAGATGTTACTTACAATTTATTGACAGTGTATCATACATAAGTCAATAAAAAAAACACAGAAAAAAATAAAAATTACAGCGAAAGTAGTTTTCAAAATTAGGTTTACAGTTTACAATTGAAAATTTTTTAAATTATGTAAAGTTCTACCGGAAAAACGCACTAAATTTAGCGAGCATTTCATACTTAATTTTCTGTTTTACTTGGCAAAATATTTTGAATTTACTAAAACGCTCTAAATACCACAACATTGTAGATTTGATTTTACAATTTTTGGGTTCTATTTTCCTAACATCTTTTGAATTAATTGAGTTTTTTCATGAAAAAACGCTTTAAATCCTAAGGAAAGGGTGAAAATATTGCATTTTCCGACATAATTCTACGGTTTTCTACTATGTTTTGACATAATTTTTCAAATTTTTGTGAGAAATCAATCAAATAATTGATTAATTTACCAATTTTTTAGCTTTACTTTTTCTTTTTTTGCTATAAATTCATCGGAACAATTGAAATAATGAAGTTCCGGAATAATTTCACAATTTCCTATTTTGTTTTGGCAAAATATTCCATATTTTGTGATATTCTCTCTCAAAAGTGCTCTTAATTTTAGATTCAGACTTAATTTAGAATTTTTCAGTTTTTTTCAAATCATTAAAATTTGATGAGTTTCTCGCTGAAAAGTCGACTTTGGTAATGTAGTAATTTCTGCTTCACTTTGACAAAATCATTTAAATTTTTTATTTTCTGGTTGAAAAACACTTCTAATTCCAAAAAAAAATAATTCATTTCGAACTTAATTTACCGAAATTTAAGCTTTCAGCAATCAAATTTTGTAAATTTCTCGCTGAAAAGATCTCTAAATTTATCGAATTAAGCGACAATAATACATTTCAGACTTAATTTTAAAGAAAGTTTATTTTAGACCTAACCTAATTCAACGATTTTCGCTTGATTTTAGCAAAATACCTGAAAAATTTAGTTAACTTCTCAGTAAAAAACGTTGTTAATCAATCAAAACGAATACAAACTTTTTTGCTGTTTTCACACAATCTTTCAAAATTAGAGAATTTTTCAGTAAAAAATGCTTTTAATCCATTGAAGTAGCAAAAATAAGTCTTTTTATGAAAACAGTTGAAACTGAGGGGTCGTTAACTTGAAAAAAATCTGTACAACTAATTCCATTTACAAACTTCAGTAATTCCAATAAAATTCCACCAAAATTTTAAATTAATTCCTGTAATTCCCAAATAATTCCTGTAATTTCAAATTAATTCTGACAGTTTTAGGAAATTTAACCTATTTTTCAGAAGAATAAATTATCTATGATAATTCCAAAAAAAAAAGAATTCTTGTAGTTTTAAAAAAAATTACAAATAATTCCGGTAATTTAATTCCAGTAATCCTATTATTCCATCGTGATTCCATTGTTTTTAGATTAATTCGTATATTTTTTTATGAATTTCTGTAATTACAACTCAATCCCAACTTAATTTCTGTTATAATAATTTGATAATACCAAAAAGAATTACAGTAATTCTAAAAAAAATTACTAATTTTAAAAAAACTTCCAGTAATTTACAAATA